ATTTAAAAATTCAAAGAATAGCTCAGAAATACATAATCTTTTCCAGACCTGTAAGACCTATAGATTAATAGATGTAATTAAAAAAAATCTTAAGTACACTTACAATTTCACACATCATATTTTTTGCTTGTAAGTACCCAAACCAGAATTATTAAAAGAATATTTGGAGTGTTTTACTGGAGACTGTACAAAATGCAACCAACTCCCCTTTAAAATAAATCATTAAACTATTTTAATATTTTTTAAAATTGTATTTAATTGCAAAGTCCCATATTAATATTCTGTATCTACTAAAGGACTGATGTAAATGAAAAAAAAATATGAATATTTTCAGTCAAAGGAAGACTGAGGAGCAACCACATTGAAATGTTTGCAACAAATATGGTATTTCTATAGTACTAGAAGAAATACAGAGCCAAGAGATCACATCCCCATCTTTTAATTCAATGCATTTTGAGTAAATAGATACATATTTCAGCTCAGTAGCTTTAAATTTGCCTCATGTATTTTGCGTTTCTCTAGCATTTTCTTTTTATTATTCTGGTTTTTCTTTTAAATAAATCCCTATCCCCTAGCTAATTAGGGGCTGAATTATATATTTTTTTTCCTAAAGCAATTATTATTTTGCATATTGGCCTGATAAGAACAGTATGTCACTTTGTGATAAAACATATAGAAGTCTACACTTGAGGCTGACCACTGGTTTTCATGTCGAGTGTATAATTTTAATTCCCTTTTTTTCTTTTCTTCTTTTTTTTCTAGGTGTAATTTGGATCCTCACATTTTCCAGGAGAAGCCAAGGGATGTGGAGCTCAGCCTGCCTCCAGCTCCAGCCCCACAACATCCCACACTGTGGGCAGCTGCCCTGGAACCCCACACGAAGTTCTCCAGCAAGCACAATTGCTCTCAGCTTGCAGGTGTTAATAGACAGGTGTCTCCAAAAATCAGGCTGTGAGTTCAGAGGAGAGCAGCTGATGTAATCTGAAGTGAGGCTGAAGCAGCGGAGGCCTCTCCAGGCATTACTGTCATTCTCACTTGGGTGATTAATTCATAATATACACCAGCCGAGGGGTCCAGCTGGCAGCCTCCCTCCCTCCGAGCTGCCACACAGCTCCTCAACCACCCGCTGTGACCTCCTGGAAACGCTCAACAGCTGCCAGGGCAGAGGGTAAAGCCTCAAAATCAAATATTTTCTAAGCTGAGTGCTCAGACTGGTGCACTCCTGACTTGGCAGGGCCTCTGCAAGGTGTTCCTGCGCCAGCATCTCATCCCTGCACTGGAAAAACTGGACAGCTCTAAAACACCAACAGCGAGGAAGGACATCTCCGCTGGCCCTGCAAGGCACTCTGCCCACACAAACACAAAACTGAAGAGCTGAGAAATCTCACTGGCTGCATAAATCTCATTTATTTGACTTTCCTTGTTTCCATCAAAAGCTGAACCGTCAGACCCGACAACTGGCTGCTGATTTACGCTGCATGTGCTGCAGATGGCTCAGCTGTGGCACACAGCTCAAATGCAGCTGCTGGTTTTTTTTGGTTTGTTGGTTTGTTTTTTTTTTCTCCTTGTGTTTTCAATGTGAGGAAGCAACAAGCTGTCTTTGGACAGCTCTTGAGTCAGAGTCTGGCCCTGCCGCCGTCTATATTCAGTCTCTTTGCCAATGAATGAAACATCAGCAGCCGGGGAGCCGTGCAGCTGCCCTTGCAGGCGCAGGGGGACAATATCCTCCAGGATTCACAACCAGTGCAGCATTACGTGGTGAAGCAGCGCTAAAGGAGCAGCCAAAGTCCCAGGAAATCCTCCCAAGCCTTGAGTTGTGGTTACATATGGGTGATAAAAACCCTTCATGTAATGTTAGCTGAGTAAGTCTTCAGGTTCTCATTGAACAGCAGGGCTGGTAGCATCCTCACACCCTCACAGAATGGTCTGGATTGGAAGGGACCTTAAAGCTCATCCAGTTCCAACCCCCCTGCCAGCACCAGGGACACCTTCCACCAGACCAGGTTGCTCAAAGCCTCATCCAACCTGGTCGAGAACACTTCCAGGGAGGAGCAGCCACAGCTCCTCTGGCCAACCTGGGACAGTGTCTCACCACCCTCACACCAAAGAATTTCTTCCTCAGATCTCATCTCCATCTCCCCTCTGCCACTTTTAAGCCATCATCCCTTGTTCTATCATTAACTGCCCTTATAAAAAGTCCCTCCCCAGCTTTCTCATCTAATCTATCTTCCTATCCCAAAGCGAGAACAATGCTCCCTCACATTACAAACACTTAAGCAAAGCATTTCTGATATGCTCTTAAAAGCTTACAGTGATTAAGATTCCTTAATTGTCAGGTCATGACCTTCAGTGCCTTACAATGGCTTTCTTGTTAAATCATTCTCTGCTGTCTACCCAGGTATGTTCTGCTGCCTTCAAGACTATGACTTCTTGCCCCTTCAACAACTGGAAAAATCAGATTATGCTCTTGCTTTTTCCAGATTCAAAGACACCTCCCTTAACTTCTTTTGGTGTTTTTTGGGGTATTTTTTTGATAAACAGCAGCTGTCCCTGTAGCCATCCTTGCACTACTATGGCTGCTTAAGATTTGTTGTCAGTTACCTCGAGGTAACTTCCCCTTTACCAGTTTAGCTCCAACGTGTGCAAAAGATGCCTTGTTCACTCCCTCTTGCCATCTTGATTTCTATCCCAGAAGAGTCAAACACAAAAAGTCATGAAACTAAGGCAAGTAACCCATTCCTAACTTCTTGATTTAAAATCTGAAATGAAACAGCAACTGCCTCCAGCATACAGAAGATGAGGCAGAAGATTCCCATGAGCAGTGGCTCTGAACCATCAAGGTGAAATGAGGTGACACCCATGTCATTCTGAGCTTGCAGCTTCTTAGGAATCAGAGCTACACCCAAAGCATCATCAGATACAGGTCTCACGATCCTATTGCCTTAAGATATGACATGAAGCAATAGAATTTTTCTGCAGATCAGTGAAATCAATTTCTGCAGTGAAGTAACAGCTCCTGGGGACAGGCACATCATGCTAAATCATTACCAATATCTTCTACAACTCTAATTGTAAACAGATGTAGCTACAAATTGTCACCAAGAGCACCACTGCTATTTTTTCTGGAGGTTCCCCAGTACAAACAGACCTCAGTCCATGCTTGATGTCCTTACGTGCTGCTACTACTTCTAGATTTTTATTTTTTCCCCATCAACAGGAAATTTTCAGATTTTTGGATTTGGTATGGAAAAAAACCCAACTTTTAAAAGCTGGGGTGTTTCAGGCTGAAGAGGTGGTGGCATGGAATTAAGAGGAAGGCTCTGGGGAGCCTTTCTGAAGATGACATTTGGGGTAGAATTGGAAAGGTCAGTCTAGCTTCAAAATTAACACATCCCACAGTGGTTCTGCAAAAATGTTCATGTATTTTCAGACATAAAAAGCCCTTTTTTGTTTTTTAAAACTATCACTTCACTATCCACCAAGATGATGAAGGGAGTGGAGCATCTCCCTGCTGAGGAAAGGCTGAGGGAGCTGGGGCTCTTTAGCTTGGAGAAGAGGAGACTGAGGGGTGACCTCATTAATGTTTATCAATATGTTAAGGGTGAATGTCATGAGGGTGGAGCCAGGCTCTTCTCAGTGATGCCCAGTGGTAGGACAAGGGGCAATGGGTGTGAGCTGGAACACAGGAGGTTCTGCTTGAACTTGAGAAGAAACTTCTTTCCAGTGAGGGTGACAGAGCCCTGGGACAGGCTGCCCAGGGAGGGTGTGGAGTCTCCTTCTCTGGAGACATTCAAGACCCGCCTGGACACCTTCCTGTGTGATCTCATTTAGGTTCCTGCTCTGGCAGGGGGATTGGACTGGATGATCTTTTGAGGTCCCTTCCAATCCCTGACATTCTGTGATTCTGTGATCCATAAAGCTCTTTATCTACTTTCATTTGCTTAGCTCTATAATGTGAGGCGAAACAAGAAGCAGTCAACAGTAGACTGGTATCTCTCAAAGCCTTGAACATGGGCAAACCTTACAGGTAAGTGCCATGGGCTTCCATTTTCTAGATGACAATGAAACTACAGAACCTTGGGAGACTGATGCTGCTACATCTCATCCCGGCTCTCACCTGTGTGAGCAGGACAATTTACCAATCTGTGAAGCCAGTACGATGACCCACAAGAAACAGCCAGAGCTCAACCTGTTTTCATGAAGGCTGACAGTCATAATGCACACAAGAAAATCTCCTTTGTGGGCTGTCTCACATGCTGCAAGGCTTTAGAAAACAATGGGAACAACTATTCTGAGCCCTACATCACAATTTCCATACCATCTACTTTGATTAACTTATCAAATCCCTGCTGAAGACATTAAGGAGAAATTGAACTTTTCACTTCTGTTTTAAAAAAAACCCCACTCAAACTAAGAAGCACTCCAGGCACGAGTCTAGAACTCATCTTCACAAACTTGGTAAACACCAAATGTGCCATGAGTAGAAAAAAATTATGTGTCTCTAACCCTAAAATGACAAGAAAAAAAAAACCAAAACAAGGGAGCAAAGGCCAATGATCTAGTAGATATAAAGAGAGTTTGTCATCACTGTACTTGCACCACCAAAGACAGGGCTCCAGGAAAAAGCACAACCCAGAGCCTGGACCAGACTTCCTCATCAGTTCAATTCCAGGTGGTTATGGTCAACTGAATCCTGACCTCTCCTGGTGAAGGTGCCATCTGGAGGCCAGTTAGAGGTGTGTATCACATATGGAAAAATAAATTATAAGAGACAACAGTAATTTTGGGGGGTTATTTTATGAAAGATAGGTGATGTTTATAAATGCAAGGCTACAGGAACCCCTAAAAGTGAGCATGCTTGCTAGAAGGTCACAAGTGTGGCATCCAACAGCAAGAAGAGTAAGGCAGAAAGCTGCAGAAGTACAGTAAGAAGTCTGAAATGTTTTAGTAGTGCAAATAAATAGACAACAGAAGGGAAATGTTCTTCCATGCAAGCCACTTCAGGTGAACCGGAATCTGCTGGGCTTTGGCAGCTCAAGAGTCAACATGTCAATCTCCTTTGAGAGCTCTGCCTCCACAGCATCCTAGGAGAAGAAAAAAACAAGAGGATTCAGTGACCAGGAAACAGTTTTCTTACATTCTTGTTAGACAAACGTATCTACAGTGATCAAACTTTGGAATATTATCAGCAATTATTAACCCAAATATGGAACTGTAAGGTCTCACTACTGCAAACAGCAGTAGTCTCTGTAGATAACTACCAAGAAATCCCCAAATAAAGGGCTAAAGAAGCTCAGTTGCCTTTATGCTGAGCCCCAGTGTGGTATGTGACACCTTCGAGCTGAACAGGTACACTGTGGAGGTGAGGAGGTGAGTATTCTGACCTGATAAAAGCCTCCATGGTATGTGACACCTTCAAGCTGAACAGGTACACTGTGGAGGTGAGTATTCTGACCTGATAAAAGCCTCAGGTGGGTAAGGTGAGCTTGTATTTCTGAATCAAAAACAAGTGGCTTACCAACCTGAGCATTCCCATCCGAGTATGTACAAAAAACTCTCAAATAGCTGTGATTTTGGATCACTGAATACCTTGTGCTTTACCTATGAGCAAGCAGACCAGTAGCCCAAAGAAATAAAGACAGGCTTTATGCTCAAATTTGGCCCAGCTCACTCAAGAAAGCTACATATGAACATCCTAAACAGCTTTATATGGCTGTTTCCCCACAACCATACCTGCAGACTATACAAGCACGGATGAAACGGGCATTATGTTTTATAGGGGAAGGTTCCCTTTGCAGTCTACAAAGCATATAGATTGTCATGTTAAATAAAACACAGGCCCTTAGAGCCCTCAGTTCAGGAGCAGCAAGGAAAGTTGTGAGACCAAGAAGCTGCAACACAGCTGAGAGAATAAACATTCTGACAGGTGTAGCAGACAAAATCCAGAGGGATATAGTTACCTAATCCCCACTGATACCATTATGCCCAACTGCCTTTGTAGCTTAGATGTCATTCCTCCACCAGTTCCTCCTACCAATATGCATGGCTTCTGCCTTACCAGAGCAAAATTTCCCTCTAGAGATCATTAAGACTACAGTCTGAGGTAGATAAATCCACAACCAATTAATATCTATTGCTTGCTTTGGAACAACAGCACTCATTTAAATCTCTGTGACAGATTTAAAAAAAAAAAAACAAACAATAAACCCCACTCTTACCAGTTCTCGTTTTACTTCTTCAATCTTCACTCGTGCAAGAGTAGGATTCTAATGAGAGAAAATGGCATTAAAAATCAATATTTCAGCTGCAAACACATAGTCCCCTCATCACTGCAAGAGTCTAATGACAGGGGAATGTAGGGATAATGAAATCAGATTTGTGTACACCCTTCACATGCAAAAAGTACTGACATTCAAAGCCTACTATCAGATTGGTTTGGGCAATCACATATTTTTCAAAAGTCTAGTATGGCCTGAAGTCTAAAAAAAAAATATCAATTTTTAGCAATTTTCCATACCTACCAACAGAGGAACTGGATTTTAAACATATGCTATTTCCCAAAGCATGATAAGCTTGCAAGGATAAACCTTCCTCCCTCCTTCTGCCTGCACCAGAAGCAAGGCATGGGGGCTCTCCATGGAGGGGGGAACTGGAGAGCCTAATGCCATTTGAACATCCTGTTTCACTTGAGAAAAGGAGGCAGCTGCCTCTTGGAGCAAGATGGATTTAAAAGAGAAGCAGTCCCACCCTCTTCCTTCATCCTTTTCCTCTAGAAAGGAGACAGCAGTAGCTGTATGAGGGGAGATGTGCTGAGAGGCAGGAGCCTAAGGAGGTGGAGAGAGAAGTGTGGCACGGCAGACTGGTCCCCAGTTCATAATATAAGAGACGTGAGTTAATCAGTGAGTTTCTATGTGATTTTGGACAAGTCTCTGATTCTCTGGACCTCTGTGCCTTGTTTATAAGAACTGGAATAAATCTTTCTCACCTCTTACACAGAAAGGTCTGAGATTAGCTCTATTACAGGCTGTGGGGTGCTCAGATGAGGAGGTCACAAGGGCCATATCAGGTAACTCAAATACAAAACTGCAGCCTAGACAGTCACAATTGCATTTAACAAAAACAAAACCCATTCATAGAATCATAGAATCACAGAATGGTTAGGACTGGAAGGGACCTTAAAGATCATCTAGTTCCAACCCCCCTGCCATCAGCAGGGACACCTTCCACTAGACCAGGTTGCTCAAAGCCTCATCCAACCTGGCCACAAACACTTCCAGGGAGGAGCAGCCACAGCTTCCTTGGGCAACCTGTTCCAGTGTCTGACCACCCTCACAGTGAAGAACTTCTTCCTAATATCTCATCTAAACCTCCCCTCTTTCAGCTTAAACCCATTTCCCCTTGTTTTGTCATTAAGTGCCCTTATGAAAAGTCCCTCCCCAGCTTTCTTTCAACTATTCACTCCAGTTTTTGCAACTTCTTCTCTGAATGACAAAGAGAAAAGTCCTTAACACCTATTTGTAAAAGCAACAGCAACCTCCTAAAAGAGACTGGAAATACTTGGGTTCAGTGGTCCCAAATACCACAGGTGGTGATGTACAGACACCACATAAAGCCAAGGCTTTGTGTTCCATGGACTGAAGCCTTATTTACCCATGATTTCTTTAAGCCACTATAAATTGTTCATAATATTACCCTCAACTGAAACAGTCTTTGGTAACTAGCATTCTAATTTGGAAAGAGTAAAATCCTTTTTTATAAAAGATGCTTCCCACAGCAATCTGATAGTAACTCCTAGCACAGGGACCAATACTGACGACAGCCAAAATATGAAATGAAGAAAAGATAGACAGACAGGGGCTTTCAAAACTGCATTTTCATCACCTAAATGAGAAACCTGCATTTTCAGAGAGCTGAGTACCCAGCACTCTCAAGAGATATCAAAGAAAATCATGGAGCAGCCAGTACTTACACCAGCTAGAGTATTTGTTTAGGGGACAACGCTGACCTTTGGCTATTTCTTCATAATCATTAAAACCTTGTTCAGAACCCCAACCTCTGCACAATGTGCTGCGTCCACACTGACAGCCAGATGACACGTATAGCTAATGTATCAGTAAATCTCAAAAAAAATGTGTTCTACTAAGGAATTACATTTTCTTCCACATTTCTTTGTCTAATTTCTAGCTAATTCACCTTGATACTGAGTCACTTTGTACATTTTCAATCATAGAATCCCAGACTGGTTTGGGTTGGAAGGGACCTTAAAGCTCATCCAGGTCCAACCCCCCTGCCAGCAGCAGGGACACCTTCCACTAGACCAGGTTGCTCAAAGCCTCATCCAACCTGGCCTTCAACACTTCCAGGGAGGAGCAGCCACAACTTCCTTGGGCAACCTGTTCCAGTGTCTGACCATTTTGTTAGAACAAAGTTTGTCTGGTAACTCTACTTAATTTTCTGGCTTTGATTAATAAATAGATAGCCTCTGTTTAAGTCAAATCTTCTGTTTGCACCATTAATAGATCTGCAGGACCTGTCCACTGAAACCATCACAACAACATCCTTTTACATTCTGAAGTCCTTTAAAATTAATCTGATGGCAAATACAATAGAATAATGGAAAAAAATAATTACAGGAGCTAAATCTAGGTAAAACCCCAGTTTCTTCTTCAAAGGCACAATTTCATTCCGCAGTTCAGCCAGTTCCTGTGAAGAGAGCAAGGCAGATTATAATCTGTGGTCCTACTTGTAGAAGTGATGTAATAGAAATAGATCTACAAGTATCTACAGCATTTCAGAATTTACACATATTGGTAAGGGCTTTCATGATCCTTCTTAAAACCCATGGAAAACTAAAGATTAGCCATTAATTCAGTTTATCAGTCAGGCAAACCTTGTTCAAATTTTACACAGAGGTATCAATTTTTCTTTCTTCTGAAGACATCTTCAAATATCTTTTCTTACTGATCTCACCTTCCCGTGAGGAGATTTCAAATGAAATCCAGCAGACAGAGGAGTTCCACTGTTCAACCTCACTGTAGGCCAGGGAGAGAACTGAGCCCCAAGGAAGGGGACACATTCTCACGTCCAACTTCTGTGTGGAAACGGTTTTGCACATGCAGCAGCAAAAAGATTCCCCTTACACTGGCACTGTTTTGCTCATTCTGTTAACAACAGGAGGTAATTTATCTTTGGGGCTGATAATTGAGCACCTTTCACAACCCTCAACTCTTTGCAAATAACCAGTGTGAAGTAAAAAAAAAAATGCACTCTGAAGATGAGGTCATCTTCACTCTGAAGAATTTGTACTGCCCAATTCACTCAGCTCTTGGCAAAGCAGATATAGAAATATCAAGGAGTCAAACCCGCCCTTATGCTCAGGTTCTAGAAGATGACAAGTCTAGAAAATTGCCAGTAACTTTTTGTATGTAAAAATCCAAGAGAAATTATTTTTGGTTAGTGCTCTTCTGAGAAAACATTGTGCCGTGTAAACGTTGCCACCCAGCGCCGGTTCAGGAGAACGACAACAGAAACACCAGGAAACCTGTTTTTTTTTTCATTTCTCAACTTTCAAACCATTTTTTCATTGTTCAACTTCTAACAGGGAGGAAAAGCTAACAAAAGAAACAGGGAGAAAGACTGAGTTCTCATTACAGTGATAGCAAATAAGTGGTGAGTGCAGACAGGACAACACAAATACATATCACATGTGTACAAATACTTCACCACAAAGCTGGAGAACCTATAGATAGTAACTCCAGAAATGTGCTTTTTCCTTTAACAAAGTATCCTGCTGGTCTTACATCACCGCTGAAAAATGTTATATTTAAAGACACAAGATTAAAAAAGCACATGGTAGCTCAGGATTTGGGTTCTACTCAACCTCATAGTTGCTCTGAAGTGTTTGAAAGCAGGCTTGTTTCACACAAGCTAGAAAGATTCACCTGTGTACATTCTATCAAGTAATTGCAATACACAAGCAGCACTCCACAGAATATCCACTCTGTTTATAACATGGATCCCAGAGAGAGGAGGCAGATCATGAGCTGCCAATTTTCTTTTAGTAGCAGCAAATTTATTCCATAGAAATTCTCTAATAGGCTATATTCCCAGTTAGAGACAGAGGCAGAAAGAGGAGAAAGGGAAAACCAAAAGGTAACAAAAATAAAGGCTCCAATTGTTCCACTCACTCAGTCCAGAAGGAAAGCTTCTTCCCAAGTCCAAAACAAGCCCACATCTAACCCTGAAGAAAGATTATTTCAACACCCACAGGTGCTTCTCAGTTTCTAGGAGGGACAAACCCATCCAACACACCCCAGCTCAGAGGTATCCACCTATTGTGCTTGTTTTTACCAATAATATTTTTTCAGGTAATCAAAGAGCAAACTACATCTCCTGAAACCACCCAAGAAACAAGCCTGGTCTGTACCACTGCAGAAATATCCATCTTGCACCAAAAGGCCTACCTTAGACAGGTTCACGAGTGACTCATGTGTCAGCGACCGGTCCAGCCCTGTGGCAGTAAGCTGCTCCTACAAACAGGAAAAGAGTTCATTCGTAATTAACCACAAAATAAAACAGGGAGGAGAAAGATTTTACCATTTCCTTGCAGTTAGTCAACGACAGAAACGTGGTATTTGATCCACAGCTATAGCTGGTATAAGAAATCAGTTGCACCTAAGTTAATATGAAGAATAGCAAGTCTTTCCAGAAAGCTACTGGGAGAAGAACACGTAGCAATGCTGGGAAGAGGTTTCTCAGTAAAATGTCATCAACTGTACTACAACTTTTTCATCTCATATTTGTCAAGGTACTGGACAGCATCCAAATGTTAAATAAAGCATTCCCACGTCCTTCATCAAATAGGAAAGGTGAAGAAGATGGTAGAACTTCTGCTTTCTGTGTTTAATCATTCATTAATTTAAAATAAATGGCTATATTCGGAATTTTTACATGCAATTTACCTCAGTGAATCAGCTGCTTCACAGGTAGCTGCCTGTATACTTTTATTTGTTATTTACCTCACAATAAGCACAAGGTAGTCTAAGCTAATACAGTTTCTCAGAGAAAGAAGAGAAAGTGTCCCTGCATTTATCATAAGATGTCTCGGGGAGAGACCATGAATACAGCAGGAACAACTGTAGTAACATGTTGTCCTGTTATCCCAAGAGTTCTCAGTCCTGGAGTTTAGGAAGATCCCGGGATGTCTCTGTAAATACAATTTTGGGCCCAACCAACCGTGACTGTGCCAACCATCACCATGTCTTGTTGGAAAATTCTTTCCATCTACCTCAGCAGCCTTGACCCTCAGATTCATATCCTTAGACTTATTTTCCAGGAACTTCAAGTTATGGATTTGGCGGTCAGCTTTGTTGGTTTCTGTTTCTAGAATTTCTTCTGATTTTTTAAGATCTCTTAAAAAACAAACAAACAAAAAAAAAAATTACAAAGAGACAAAATTTTCCATTTAAAGACATACCAAGTACACAAATACTGTTTAATCTAAACCACGTAATACACCCAACACCACAAGGGAGAGAATGGAGAAAAACTTGCATTTCCCTGGGAGATTTCCCAATGGAAACATCCACGGCTGTTACATCCAGAGACCCAAAGCCAGGGGGGAGCGAGGGGAGAAAGGCCAAAGGGAAAGCCATCTGCATAAAACACATAGTAACAGTCTTCTGCATAATCCCCTAATTCAGTTAGAGACCTGCTACACAAGCTACACTTGAGATCACAGAGAGGTGCCATGGCAAACCCGCACAGGGCACACAGGTCTGGTGTCTTTGCTACAAGCAGAGCCACAATAACTACTTTAAAAGACAAAAAAAAAAAAAACCTAGAAAAGAATTAGACTGGAAGTGGGCTTTGGAGACCATCTGGACCAGTGCCCACTCAAGGCAGGGGTTGATCCTGCTACGCTCAGCAAATCACTTCAGATTACATCCTCTAGGGGAAAAAAAAAGTCTCCCACATGCTGGTTAAGGGAAATTCTTACTGAGGAACAGTTTTTGTTTTGCCTGGCTCCTCCACTCAAACTACAGGGCCCATGTGGTAAGAAAATCAGGTTTGCCTTCAACTTTAGACAAAGGCAACTGGTGGAAGATGTCAGCCCATATCTGAAAACTGCTTGTAGACCATTTCTGGTTTAAAATAACAGGCTTGATGGTACCCCAAATCTCTTCTGATTACTGAATGTGTCCATAGCACGTGGCTTTTGATGGATACTTCCCACTATTGTATATTAGAGACGTGCCAAAACCCTGAAAATTCAGTTATCCTTTTTAGTTATTACAACCAATGTTCCACATGGCAGAGATTAGCAGCATTGCTTACACCTTCCCCTTTTCTCACCCATTACTCACTCCTTCAGCCGCTTTTCCAGCATCAGCGCCTCAGTGAGTTTTCTAGTCATGTCGTTCAATTCCACTTCTAGTTTTTTGTTCTTTGATTTTGTTGCATACAGCTCCGAACTCAAATGATTGATGGCACAGAAGAAGCTGGTGAAAAGAGAGATTTGGTGGGAATACTCAGAAATCAGCTCTTCTGAAACTCAGAATTATTTTCTCCAAGCTTTATACAAATTATTGTTTTTCTATGATTGATACATCAGATAACTGCCAGCCAGTTTAGAGGATGAAAGTAAAATAAATCACTAAGGGTATTTGATTCCCTTAACTAACAGATTTCATCTGGAAGGGGAAACAGCCAAGTGATTCAAGTAGGAGGAAGTGAACAAGACTTGGCACTCTAGTGAATATAACCACTGGGTTTGACGTGATCAGATGCTCCACTCCTGGCTTGCCAAATTATCTTTGAGAGAAAGGCTTGCCAATTACCTTTGAGAGAAACTGTATTCAGTCCCTGAAAATGCATGTCCCCAGTGATATTTCAGTCTATTCCTCTCCCCAAATGGTTCAAAACTGCTTCCCCCTCCAGCTCAGAAGAGCTGTAAGAGCCAAGCTCCTGAGCAGCACACAAAAATTGCATTCCAAGGCAGATTTTGGCCCTTCCTTACTGCCTGTGCCAGCACAAACCTGCTGTTACAGGTCTAGGCCAGGCTAGGGAACGGAGCTCAGGAAGAGCAGACTAACAGCTGCCATTTCACTGAGGCTGAGCTAAGGAAATTTCCTTACATCAGCTGAGGCCAGATAAGGGAGGGAAGAAAAGAGCTGAGACTGAAAGACCAGTTACAGTTCCCTAGTCCTTGCCTAAGCAGTATGAAACCTGCTCTAGCTTGTGCTACCTGGCACAACAATCTCAGTGGCAGCATCCTGCAGCTGCTGACCATAAAAGCAGAGGCAAAAGAGGGATTTAACTCTGGCCAAAGCACCTCTCAGGCTTCAGAGACTTCCTTTGCTGTTAGAGCTCAAGAGTTCAGAGCTCTGCTCTCAGTTCCTGTGTCCTCCAAAGCTACCCAAAGGGTGCAAAAGAAGCTGGACAAGGAAGGTCCCTGGTGTGAAAGTCAAGTTTGAAACTGTTGAATCAAAAAAACCAGAAGGAAACAGCACAGACCATCACTCCTGATGCACAGTGTGAATAATTACCTGGTAAGAGAAGTGTCCTTCATTTCAAGTATCACTGCGCTGTCTACCAGGGCATTGAGGCAGCTGAAGCCTTTGCTGGACAAACTGCTTATGGAAAGACCCAGGCCTTCTATGAGAAGGCTCTGTAGGTAGTTAGCTGGAAAAGAAATAAAATCCCAAATAGGACTTTTTTTTATATTACTGTTCTTTTAATGCCTAGATGGGACTCTCTCTTTTTAACACACATGTTAAAAATGTATCATGGCCCCCTGAATGCCAAAAAAAACCCCACATTATCAAACACACTAGACAGTTTGAGCATAACTTAATCACATCACTGTTGTTTCAGATTCCTCAAGCGCTTCCCTTAACAGTGGATTAGCACCAGCTCAGTCTCTTAAATCAGCTGTAGGGTTGCTTCCCTGTCTATCCAGCCAATATTTCAAGGCTGTGCTACTCAGCCTGGCAGGCTAGGAGGTTTTAGCAATTAATCTGCTACAGCCTGCTCAAGACAGCTTAAAAAACTGCCCTTGACCAAACTCATGTCACCATAAATTTTGCTGAAAGGAAGGCATGGGAAGCACTGCAGCAAAAGCTGTACCAGAACAAAAAATGAGTTTGCTCCAATTATATTTATATATTT